AAAAGATGCACAAATATGAATCTAATTAACATTGAAATTTCAATTTTAAAATGTATATTTGAAATTATTTTATAGATGTTTAAAACATAAAGGATAGGGGGTGTCGCCGCGACACAACGGAACGTCACGTTTTAAAGTGTATTTTTTCTCAGAATGAAAAAGACAAACATATAAAAAAGATTCTACACAAGCACCCAAACTTCCAGTTTTTTAAAAGACACAATTCTCGTCATTTTCTAGTCTTTAATTGAAAATTAAATGACGGCATTGGTATTTGTGATCATAAACATTGTTGTTTTACTCTGTTGAATGATCAAAGGGATTGTCGAAATAGGAAAGAACGACTCAACGAGTTGTAATGCATTTTTGCTTCAAAATATGGGAATCATCACAAGCGACAGTTACGTTAATTAATCAGACTCACAGAATAAAGAATGTAAATAAGACACATCTTAATAGATGGTTTCAGCAATTTTGGGCGTGTGATTGGTTACTGAATGATTAGCAGAGGACAAGAAGACCGAAAGATATGAGGTCGGACGGAAACGTTCAATGCTGTCTCACGTTGTCAAAAAAAAAAACCCCAGACGTATAGAGTGACATGTGAATTTTCAAGATTGTATTATGCTACTGTTCAAAAGTAATTTAACAGAGGGCTTAATTATGAAAAGAGTGAGTGTATAATGGTACCAAGTATTCTTAAAGAAAGTGGAATTGGTGAAAGTGTTTGCGAATCACAAATATTTGTTAATGAAACGAAGGGGAAACGCTTACAAGTGTGACGATGCATATCCGTCATATGACGTTATATGACGTTATATTTAGGTGCGGCGACTACAATAAACGCACATTGTTAAAAATCCGATATTTTGGAAAGTATACATCATGTTACTTTGAATTTTTCAGGTCTGATTTGAAATAAATAAAGCTTCATTCATGTATAATTTTGTTACTTTACGTCGATTTATAGCAATTTTATCAAAGTTGTGACATTACTTTTGGATCAACCCTCGTATATAAGTGCTTTATTATGTAATATGACTAACATAGTCACAGACATTCAAAAATCTTTATTTCTTGATAAATCATTTCAGAAGTATGGTTGATATATTCAGGAATCATACTAAGGGTACTATTTATTGAAACAGCGTGTTTATGAGAATGCCTCGTGTAACTAATAGCGAGAAAACATCTCTCTCTGCTCAAAATTTTATTCTCGAAATGGACGTTAAACAAACAAAACACTATGAACACGTTATTAAAATTTTTATTTTCAAAAATATGGATTTCCGAAGAACATTCATTGGATTCAAAAGATTTGTTCCGTGTATTAGTAAATTGTAAAATCCCTAAGTCTTTATGATACACTTGCATTTTAAACTTAATTTCCTGATAATTTACGATCATTAAAGATCCGTCTTGTGTCTGACCATCACATCTTTTGATGTTTACGATTTCCAGAGCTAAAAAAGGAAAATATTGTTAAAACCTGTCTCATTAAAGTGAAATGGCATGCATATCCTTTTATCGATTCGGAATAAACTTGCTGTATTTTCGAAATCAATACAAAGGTGTATAAACACTTGTTTCCGACACATTGACATCTGCTCGATTTTTCTTTCACATTTTTTAAATAAATCTATGTAATCAAACACGTAAGAACATAAAGGGTTTAAATTGAAAAACGAACAATGATCGGTCTAAAAATAGCTATAAACATTACTACATCATTCATGGATTTTGACGATGGGAAACTAAAGAAATGAAATGTATGGAGATAACACACAATAGTAAAGTCCAAATGTCCTTTCATACCATGCAAGTCAGAAGCAGAACAAACACAAACCTCTAAAGCAACAGAGATGTGACTATGTTGAACTAAGGAGTGAGTATCCCCTGTCAAATAGTCATTTCCACCGTGTGCTCCATTGTCATTATCGGGAAATGACCGAACAATTTACCACAATTCAGAGTGCAAAATTTTATAACATACTTAATTTAGATAAGTAGACTTAATGAACACTCACCAGCAGCTTTCGTTGCTCCAGTGATACTCAATAATAAAACGCAGATGATCATGTGTGTTACATGTACTTGAAGCATTAAACAGTGTTAAAGAACGATTGATGTACGTACATGTATAGACGATCTCCATATATATGTTCTCGACAACCTTAAAAGTATTACTCATTCTCATTCATAACTAAAGCAACCTTCCTTGTAGTTATCTACGTATTCAGCAAATCTAGTTCTGATTGGTAATGTCCAAAATCGGACAAAAGTTAAATCTGAATATTAACCTGATTAGGTGTGGGGCATGCCCCATTGACAAAAAGCTGCCGGTGAACTACTTTTTCCGATTTTGTAATAAATGTATCAACTAAAAGATTTAAAACTATCCAAAAATATTTTTGTTTGAATTTGGTAGCATTATATACATTATTTATTGAATTTAATAAATATTCATGATAGACAATGGAATATAACTGAAGAAAGATTATTTAATTTATCAAAACAGAATGGATGTCGATTTTAAGGGATGTTACTCGTATTTTGTTATATCAATTTTTTGGAAAAGTTTATTTTAGATAATTGCTATTATAGCATGATTCAAAAGTGCAACGAAAATTTTTGGTCAGTGTGCATGGTACTGAACAAAGGGTCAAATAATTTGAACAGTTTGCACTTGAAATGGAAATCTTTTTTGTATTTTTTTGTAGTTGTTAGTAGTTCTTAGCCACACTTTTAAAAAATATGTTAGTATCTCATGATTAAAAAAATATTAGGTCATACTGCTTCAAATTAACGAAATTGGAAGTTAAAAATATAGGAAATATTTACTACTGTTTCCTGTTTCAAAAAATTTCAATATTATATGAAGATAACGAACAATTATTGAAATCATGAAATATAATTTATAGATAATCTTTCTAAAAAATCATTTGAAATTATTAATTGATAGTACATGTACTATAAGTTTCAATTTCAAGTGTCCCAAAAGAAAAACAAAATCATATAATAAGTTTAAATAAGAGTAAACACATAAATATTAGGTCAAGATGTGAATTCATATGCTATGAAATTACATTGTAGTTTAAATTTATCAAATATTATGTGAAACTTAGTTGTTTTAAATGGAATATCCTGATACAAATTATTCTATAAAGGTATAGAATTATTAAAATTATATTGTTTCAGTACTAAAAATACATTTAAATTGTCAACTCGGCATTACATTGTTAGGCTAACGGTTCTTCAAATTTGTCTGTGAAACTTAGTTGAATTATCCAAAAATCATTTTATAAAAGTTAGAATTATTAAAATTTGGGTTTCGTGCAAAATATTGGAATTGTTCTTGGGCGTGCAAAATATTGGAATGATCTACATCAATATACGCAAGACCATCTTGATTCCTACTTCGAACAGGACTGTTTTTAACATTTACCTGTGGCCTGCTTACTTGAGCATAGACTGCTCCGGCTGTATCGCTCATGGTTTTCTTTTTGGACTTTGTAGGAACTGCATAGATAGGAATTTCAGCCACATGCCTATCTGCTATTTCTTTCTGTGTTAGTCTGGTATAAACTATCTGTCTTTCGACATCGTTCCCTTGCGTTGATAACTGGGAACCTTCTTGCTGATCATGTATTGTAGAATATCCGACTTCGCTTGGGAATTCATTGGAATTGTATAGAGGGTTATCTGGTAAAGGTTTGTTGAATACATTATAACTTTCATGATCTGTACGAAATTCCTCTGTTGATTGCGTATTTCTTCTTTTTTGTTTTTGCTACCTAAAAACATAAGTGTAAACTACAAAACAAATCTCCAAGAAGATAATAATCTTTTTTTTTATTTCAATTGAAATGGGAATACAACAAAAGAAACATACCGAATCCTACAAGCCAGCACAAGAATTACAAGAGCAAAGAATCCCATGCCTACACATGTGGATATTCCAACTATAATATCTAAAGAAAGAATAGACCATATATTCGTAGTAAATCAAAATTGATATTGTTTAAAAGAAACTTTAATGTGCATATCTGTTTATTTTTCTAATTACTTTTTATTATCAGATATTTTTCTTGTTCAACTGACAGAAAGTGAAAAATGACTCCACCCAACTTGGACATTGACTTAACAGATACTGTTCTTGTAATACGCGGTTTATTGATTTAATATAGAAATAAATGACAATTCTTTTTATAATTTGTACTTAGCACACGAAGGCCTTTCTTCTGGATTTGGAAGACTATGCAAACATAAGCATGGGGGTGTGGGGTGATTCGAACAAATTTGAATCTATATTTGTCTCAGAACTCTCATACTCATATTACTCATGTGAACAAAATATTATTCACTGTATATTCCATGTTTAAATTCAATCTTCACTTATGGGGCTTTTTGTGGTCAACTGATCTTTGATGGGATGATTCTAGATGATGCCCCAACCTTTTAACAATTAGTTACTAATTGCACTTGAAAGAAAGTGACTTTTCATTCAAATCTATCTGGATTTCCTTTAAGCAAGATTGCCATTTCCTTGGTTTAGGTCTGATCTAAGTCGATTCAGGGGTTTGGAGATTAAGTCAAACGTATCAGAAGTCAACATAAAGACAGTGAGACAGACGAACGCCGTATTAAAAAATAATCAGAAAAAGCTGACTGGACCCTCGGCTGAAAGGAGGTAAGATGAAAAATAAAATAGACTTACATGTTAAAATAGATGTAACAGGCTGAAGTTCGTCTGTAGCATTTATGGAGTGAAATCCAAAGTCTGTTACGGTGGTTAAATTCTGCTGTTGATAAGATGTAAAATCCGTACTCCCCGTTTCTGTCGAGCGGCTTGTCGTACTTTTAGGTGTATTTCCACAGAAAACTCTGATATTCCCCTTTTCTCTCCCTTATCATTATGAGAACACAATCTATTCATCTCTCATGTACTCAGAAGTAAATCATAATTATGGATAACTAAAAATATTTTTAAAAAACATTCAGAACTCACGCGACATATTTTAATTGTAACCATATGCGGATTTTTTGCACTCATAGTTTGACAAGCAAGAGAAATGTGGCATTTTATTTTAAAAACATTAATATCATTGTTTTTACTGCAATAGAAAGAAATTGTATAAATGATGGAAGGAATTAAGACAAAAGAAATTTGTTTTTTTTTACCATCGATATTCTGTTGAAACCCTAGACAGTGGTAAGACTGTTCCCGACTGTAGAATGCATAATAATGAGGATAAACATTAACTGTTTGAGACATATTGTTCGTAATTTGTGTAGCTTTTATTTGAGGATTGCATTTGAAAGAATAGTATCTTCCAGAGGCTTCTATTCTTATTATTGTGCTACAGGGTTCTTCAGTTTTCTCTGACGTAACCTCGATGTCGCCTTCAAATGATGGAATTACGGTACAAGTACATGGAGGTCTGATGTTGTGAAAGTCTATATAGATCAGGGATCCATTCTTCTCCGAGTCCTTACAATTCGATAATGATATATTTGCAGCTAAAACATAAATTTTTATGTCATTTCGCACAATGTAGACTAGACATTTAAAAAAAAATTGAACATGTATCAGAAAATATGCCTTATTAAAGTAAGCTAAGCTCTTTTCATTCATTTAAGAGATTTTAAAACATGAAACTATGTTAAGATAGGATAAAAAAAAAAAAACACTTACCGTTTAGTGGACACAGTCCTAAAAAAGATAATTCTTTAATGCTGAGTAAACTGCAGAAATATATATATATATATATATATATATATATATATATATATATATATATATATTACAATTTATATTAATCTTACGTAAAATTTGCATTTATGAACATGTATCTATAAATTTGATTATAAAATTTGATTTCAAATGATGTTGTGGCAAGGTCATAAAAGCAAATTCTGACATTTCAAGGAAAACACACGATACATAAGCAATTATACTGATCGTATGATAAATATATAAAATTGTAAGAACCCTGTGAAAACTTTGAAGGTGGACCATTTGTTTTAGGTCAATAATATAAGCTTTTTTTTTTTAATTTACTGGCAATCACTTTTTAATATATATTGCGATATTTACAGTGAAATGCAATTATTGTCACGTTGGATTTGATATTTGAACTTTGGCAGAATCTCAAAAAAATTTATATTTTTTGCATATATTATTTAAAGTAGAGTCAAAACACCTTTAAAAGCAAAGTAGCGACATGGGAAGATTTATGTATCAGCAAGGTTCTGCACTAATTTTATATAAAAGAGAAAACATAGATTTACGGAACTGTATTCAATAAAAGGTAATAAATCAATACAACGTTTTGGAAGCAGAGCAATGTTGAAACATAAAATATACAATTCAAGTGTCACGGATTGGGAAAAAGTAAAACAATCCAGCCGCGTGTTTAAATTATTTTTAAAACAATTGGGAAAATCACAACAATTCAGTGTTTAATAATGTAAAAAAATGATAGGATTCAGAAAATAGAATTAAATTCATTTATGATAAATAATCATTTACTGAGTGCTAAGAGGGCCATTTTTCAGAAAAAAAATTTAGAACAGTGATGACTTGAGAATCAAGGTAAATACATCTTGATATCAGTCTGTTTTGTCATTAGAATCCTTTAGAAATTGTTCATGCCAGAGCATGCTGTTTTCGCAATTGGAAAAAATTACTACAGTTTGATTTAATGAAAATATATAAATTTTTGCATGAAAAATTAAAATAGCAAAATTAAATCCATCACGTTGATCTATAATAAAATAATGCATTTCCCAATAAGTGATAAATGTTTCCAACAAGTCAGCAATATACACTGAAGCGTACATTTATTGGTTGGGTTCAAAGGCAACATTTATATGGAAACAAAGTTTTAAGGGTAAAGCAATGGTCAATACATGTGTATTCCTCACAAGTGAACAGTGAGAAATATTCCCCACAAGTCAGCAATGATAAATATAACCTATGTGAGAAATATTCCCCACAAGTCAGCAATGATGAATATAACCTACGTGAGAAATATTCCCCACAAGTCAGCAGTGATAAATATTCCCCACAAGTCACCAATGAAAAGTATTACAAGTTAACAGTGATAAATATTCCCCACAAGTCAGCAGTGATAAATATTCCCCACAAGTCAGCAATGAAAAGTATTACAAGTTAACAGTGAGAAATATTCCCCACAAGTCAGCAGTGAGAAATATTCCCCACAAGTCAGCAATGAAAAGTATTACAAGTTAACAGTGAGAAATATTCCCCACAAGTCAGCAATGATAAGTATTACCTACAAGTCAACTGTGAGGAATATTCAATAACAACATACAATTATTTTAACCCATTCTCAATCAAATTTGGGGAGTAAATTGGAATTAGCATGTCTGTCTATCTTTCTATAGGCATTACATATTGAGGGATAATGGTGGCATTATTTTTTTAGGAAATCTCACATCAACTTCCTGTTTATCTGTGCGTGTAAATTTTTATGTTTTTTTTTTCAGCAACTACTATGGTAGCAAGAAGTTTGAAATTTTTTAACACTCTTTGTCGAGGCATATTATATACTGGTAGTGAGATTCATTTTTATGCAAATTCGATGTCAACTTCCTATATATCCACGTGTCTCGAGATCTGTACGCAATTTTTGTTGCAGTTTTTTCACCAACTGACTATCACAGATATAAAAATGTGGTACATGTATCCATTAGATTGAACCCTAGCAATAAAAATCCTGAGTAGCATTCTCTACTGAGACTAGCAAGCTAACCACTATGCTACACAAGTCCTGATGAGGATTGGCATTTAAATCATGTTTGTGATATGACCATTGACTCAGTGGACTTCAAGTTTTTCTCGAAAAGATACAAAAGTTATATCATAAAATTATAATTTTTTAAAAGGTTTATTGGGTTTTTACTCCATAATTTTGGAAATCAAAATACATGTAGTATATTTCATTTTGTATGCAAACTTTGAGGATAAACTTGAAAAAAAAAGTGGAGTGAAGACCCACTCATACATTTCAAAACATTGTTTTAAAAAGTGTGTAGTGTTGTTATGATAGTCGCTGACTATCGAAAAATCGTCGTTTAAAGGCCCAGATTGGCGACAATCGATTGTAAATATTATCATCGATAGATCACTATATTTTTCAAGCCGTATTTCTCAAGCCGAGCAGGTTTAACTTTTATATTCACCAAAGGGACATCACTCTAATCAGCAGTAAACAAAATGAGAACGTGCATGGTGAAGAGGTTATAATTATTATATCCATATCCTGGTGCATTGTCTTTTTAAAATACTTCTAAGGATGAATAAATCTAACCTTTTATAACATTTAAAATTATCAATTATATAATTATATAAGTGATTGTGTTCTTCCGATTCAATTTGATAATAGTAAATTTGTCCAATTTTACAACACTAAAAGTGTGAAAAAATGACTCAATTTGCCCTTTTTCGCGTATGCAAATATGTTATATAATTATACTTTTTGATTGTAAATTTGTTCAAATGATGATTCAATTGCCCGGTGTGTATTATATTTTACAGGCCAAAAACTTCAGTCTTCATGAGATATGTATAAGTTGTAGAGATTTGACAGATTTACATAAAGTATACTTTAATTTTAGATGAAATATTTCGGAAAATTTTGATACAATACTTGATATCGCGATTACTTAACTTAGCTGAACTCTTTCATGAAGGAGGTAGGAATCATCTGTTGGGTGGGAGCAATGTGCTATTCAATACAATTAATGCAAGATCGATCATTGTAGCATTTATAAGGACAGATAAGTAAAAAATCCTGGTGGAATACCTCGCTAGACAATCGCTGAACCAGCCTTATACATTTTTGAGAGGAGCCAATCCTAAATTGTCACATTTTTAAAGATATGTTTAATTAAGCGGACTCTTATAGTTAAATTTTCATTGAAAATCGTCACATTTTTCAGTATATAAAATATTCTTAACTTTCCTTATTTGACAATCTACTATTTGGAATTCAATATCTGGCAAAACATCGTGATTTTGGCATTAAATTGTTCGAATCATTCGATTGTCACTAATGTAAACAATGTCATTTGCCCCCAGAAATTTAGACTTTTCTTGACTCCCTCGCAAAAGAGCGGAGGTAAGTTAGATAACTGCGAGGTACTCATTGGTAGTCGCGACATAACATATTGAGATTTAATTTTTTCACCTTCATGTTTGTTGCGCTATAGGCTTATCCCTTGTTATGTTCTCGGACTCCCATCTCATTTATCATCCAATAATAAAATACATTTCCAAAGCATGTGAATTATATTTAGATGATAATTAAATACATATGATAAACAATAGATAAAAATTGATATTTTTGTCCTTTCTACTCTTCATGCATATAACATGTATAAAGTCCACAACAATAAAATGATTCATTTGATTTTTGTTAGGATTTGTTCATCGACATCCAACATATTGTTTACATGTTTATGTTACGTTTGTCCCAGAAATCCTGAAAGATTTGTACACTCTGCAACTTTTTTACAGAGGAGCGCACTAAAATCTTAAACTCTTCCATAGTTGAAATAAGACGTATTGGTAAATAGATTTTGCCCTGTAGTCCATCTGGCTGTTTGTCCTCAAAAACTTTAACCTTGCTCATAACTTTGGAGTGAGTGGGGCTATGGCTTTCATATTTCACTGCTGTACACTTGTATTTCTTGTGACAAGACCTTTCTTTGGGTACCACCACCACCAAATTTGACCTCTTGACCTTGAAGTTTGACCACTTTTACAAAAATATATCACTCTTCAACCTTAGTTATAACTTATAACTTTTGCACAGTTGGTGTTAGGGCTTTCATACTTCTCATTGGTATGTTCAATAATTTTTTTGACAGGTCTGCCCAAGTTTTGTATTAAAACGCTTCTGAAACTCATCTGTAAAAAACATTTAATATTGTTGGCCGATTTAAACATTTCGGGAAAATAGCAAAAAAAATGAAAACGTGAAAAAAAAACTATGAGGTTCGGAGAGTAAAATGGAGGATAGGTCAGGTGACAGGAAACATGAGTACAGTCATGTATATTTTTTTTGCCCCGGTATAGTGTCATATTTGATATTATATGGAATATGTGATTTGCAGCACATTCTTACTGATATTTCTTTAAATTACAGGTATCCTGAATTTTTGTCAACTTCTAGCCAAGATCCTGTACTTAAGCTGAATGTGGAGGACAGATGTACACACAGTACTAGTATAGAGGGTAAGTAGACCATAAAAAAAAACAAGATGTGTTTGTGAAACACTATGCGCCCGGCGGCAACAAAGTTTGGAAAAAGCTATTTTTAGCATTAAGGTCACAGTCAAGGTCACAAAGTCATTGACCTTGGTGTCATTTGAAAGAGGTTGATTAGTGGAGTATGGAGTGGACTCCATGCCACTAAACTGGAAGTGAACACCGCAGTGAATATTTTACGTAATTGAAGAAAAGAAAAAAATTGTATGTAAATCTTCATGTACAATATTATGTTTCCATATGTGATCAATTAAAAAAAAATATATTTTTAAAACAAAATAATGCCTCATCAGGTCGGTAAGACAAGCTGTTTGGCTCTTTGTTGACTTGGCTTTTCAATGATTTAAATTTGGCACCGTGTAAAAATAGAATTATCTGTCCCTGGTACATATCGTCTTACAAGTAAGAAAAAGAATTGATAACTTTTAAAGTTTTCTTAAATATGTTTAAAATAACTGAATCAAAATATGTTGAATAATTATTTATTTTATTTCATTTGAACAAGCTTTCATCATCATGATCATGTTCATAGACGTCAAATATACACTGCGAGATTTACTTCCAGTTTAGTGGCATGGAGTCCAGGATGAGCTGTTAAAGTGGAAAAAGGGCCAGAAACGGCCTGTAGTCGTCAAGCAGATTGGATTTCTTAACTTGAATAAATAGTAAAACGCTCCGAATACTGAATTTGTTGCGAGATTTTTTAGGCCAAGCCCAGATCTATTAGTTTAAGTGTGTCCCCCCAAAACATATTGCCATCATGGTGTATTTTAGTTGAAGGTAGGAAAATTTCTTTCCGGATTTTTTTTTTTTTTTGACGATAAGAACTTCAGACTCCTGTCCTATAACATTTTTAAAAATATTTATTGATTTTTTTTAAAGTCACTTGCCCACGGGCATGTACCTATTAAAAAAATTCACTTGCCTCCCCCCTTAAAAATTCACTAGCCCCGGGCGTCGGGCAATGGGATTTGTCAGACCCTGGTAGTGTAGATTCAAGCTTGTTCAAATCATGACCCCCCAGGGGTAGGGTGAGACCACAATGGCCGATCAAAGTTTTACATAGGAGTATATAGGAAAAATCTTTAAAAATCTTCTTCTCAAGAACTACTGGGCCAGGAAAGATGAAACTCATGTGTAATCATCTTCAGGTAGTGTAGATTCAAGTTTGTTCAAATCATGACCCCCGGGGTAGGATGGGGCCACAATAGCTGATCAAAGTTTTCCTAGGAGTATATAGGAAAAATGAAAATAAAAATTCAAGTTTGTTCAAATCATGACCCCCGGGGGTAGGGTGGGGCCACAATGGCCAATCAAAGTTTTACAAAAATATATAGGAAAAATCAGGTAGTGTAGATTTTTGTTCAAATCATCTGTGGCCTCTCCCCCTTAAAAATTCTAGCCCCGGGCGTTAATCTTTTTCTCAAGAACCACTGGGCCAAGAAAGATGAAACTCACCCGGAATCATATTCAGGTAGTGTGGATTCAAATTTGTTCAAATCATGACCCCCAGGGGTAGGGTGGGGCCACAATGGCCAATCAAAGTTTTACATTGGAGTATATAGGAAAAATCTTTAAAAATCTTCTTCTCAAGAAACACAGGGCCAGGAAAGATGAAACTCATGTGTAATCATCTTCAGGTAGTGTAGATTCAAGTTTGTTCAAATCATGACCCCCAGGGGTAGGATGGGGCCACAATGGCCGATGAAACTCTTTCATAAGAATATATATGAAAATCTTTTTAAATCTTCTTCTCAAGTACTTCAAAGCCATGATTAGTGATATTTATATGGAATCAACCCCCTTAATGTATATTTTAGTTTGTTCAAATCATAACCAAGCGACCCCCCCCCCCCCCCCCCCGCCTCTCAATTTTTCAGTTTTGACCTGATCTGTGCTTTTTCCTAGACAATGTGCTCAGGTGAGCCCCGGTCAAATAAAAAGGTCAAGGATTAAAATCATTCCAAGGTCCGAAACATCTCGATCTTGTCTCACAAAAGGGACATCAAAAATTAAAACCAAAATCAAATGTTACAATGAAAACAAGACTCACCGGGGTAGGGCGGTGCCACAATGGCTGATCAAAGGTTTACATAGAATATATAGGAAAAATCTTAAAAAATCCACTGGGCCAGGAAAGATAAAACTCTTGTCGAAGCATCCTTAGGTGGTGTAGATTCAAGTTTGTACAAATCATGACACCCGGGGGTAGGGCAGGGCCACACTGGCTGATCAAATTTTTATATAGAAATATATAGGAATTTTTTTTTAAAATCCTTTGCTCAAGATCAGCAAAGCTATGATTGTGATATTAATATGGAAATATCCTCAGAGTTAATTCAAGTTTGTTCATAACATGATCTCTTGGGTTTAGGGAGGGTTAACGAGGGGTCACAATGGGAGATCAAGTAATATGTAGGACAAATCTTCTTTTCAAGTATGGCAAAATTTAGCTGCAGATCTGTAGCACTATGGTTTTATAATTTGTCTGACTCTAACGCTACAGGTCCCGTAATGCAAAAAAGGTGGAATTTACGGGGCATTGTTTGCGCACTTTTGGGGAAAATTTTTCCATTTTCTAGCATTGGTCAATCAACTACCTTTCCATTCCTAATTCTGGACTTATTCTGTATAAAATAGTGTATATTTTATCCACCTCCCAACCATTTTTAGTTATATCTACAGTTAAAAAACTCACTTGAAGTGAATTTTCAGCAGTACATGTATAACATATAATTTTAATCAAGCGAGTTCTCAAGTATTAAAAAATTTCATCCCCCCCCCCCCCCCCAACAAGTAAACTTCAATACTGAGCTGACTTGTGTTTTTTTAACTAGCCCATGTGCTCAGGTGAGCGATGTGGGCCCATGGGCCTCTTGTTTTCATTGTAACTTTTGATTTTGGTTTTCATTTTTGATGTCCCTTTTGTGAGACAAGATCGAGATGTTTCGGACCTTGGAATGATTATAATCCTTGACCTTTTTATTTGACCTTAATTCAAAATATTGCTTTGGAATTGACAATATATGATAGGGAATTAATATTTAACACAATATGCTATATATAATAGCACCTTACAAACTAAGACACCGAAAGCGAGGGACCACAATTATTTGAATTTGCTTGATTACATTGCTTTAAATGCTCAGAAATGATGTTTTCTAATTTCAGGTATTATCTCGGTACCTTAAAACTCCAAACGACAGGGAGAAGAAGAAAACTGCATATTTCCGATGTATCTTCACAGCAACATGACCCAAAGCACTACCATTAAAGGATTTGATTTGACATTAAGGAAGTAAAAAAATGAAGGCATTAGTCATAAAGAAAATTAAAGAACTTTATGTCTGAATATTATATCAACAATACCATAAATCTAACGATGGATTATTTTGCCTTATAATTTATATTAATGCATGTACATGTAATTTTATTCTTTTTATATATACAATCATGTAGTGTTACCATTTTTCACAAAGCTTAAAAAGTTATGTAGGGCCACACCAATTTAATTTCTTGTTCGTCGGACATTTGATTTAAAAAAAGTACAAGCAGTTAAATGATAATATTATTACTCTTTGCTGGGCAATTTTTTAGGCGGAGCGTGAAAATTTGAGCGGACAATTATATTTTTTCTGATTTACAGAGTAAGCAGATATAAAATACAATAAATAGAGCGGAAATGGAACAGAAAATAGCACAGAATTCCTATGGTGCGAGAAATTGAAATTAATATTATTTGTATGGTTTTGTTTAAATAAGCGCGTGGGTCCGACGAACAAAAATTTTCATTAGTGTGGCCTAGATCATTTAGATTCAATTCATTTTTTTCTTCAAATTACCACATGCCAGAATTCATAAGAAGGAAATTTATATATGGCTGGTGGTTGTGGCCATTTTTAGACTATATTGATCTCCTTTAGAAGGAGAGCTCCTTATAAAATTATACAAAAAATGACCAAATTTTAAAACTAAAATGTACAGAATTTTTCTTTGCCAAATGATAGTTCATAGAACCACAATTCTTCAATCATGTCTACTTGGAGATCAGTGGATGGATATTCATATACAATACACAGCTGAAGCAGGTTTTGTTAGGTTATTTTATTTTCAAAAGGAATGCATTATTTTCTTCAGTCCATTAATGTTAAGCTCTTTAATAGAAACAATTGTAGAAGATTTATCATATTTTGTTTAGAATTTTGAAGAATTTGTTAATCACTCAGTGAAAATTATCCCTTGTCATAATACAAATTTTTAAAATGTATGTACAAATACTTTTATGTTGAAATGACCATGCAAGGAAGAAAATAAAACAAGTTTAAGTGTACACTTTATGCTTTTATATCCAAATTGGCTTCTGTGGAAGGAGAAAGGTTCATATAATAGTATATTAATTAAAGGAGTACATAATGTCCTTTAGAATTTCAGTAAAATTTCTTGACTTTCATGTTAAGGTCATACGCAACGTAGTTTTAACTTTTTTGGATTCTGCCTTGGAGTTGAAGAGTTCCACTAAATGAAGGGCCTGTGTGCAATATTTTTAATGTCTATATATGGATTTGTACACCTCTTCTTAAACAATTTTTGATGGAAAAAAATCTGGAATTCATGTTTTATAATTTTTGTACATTTTTATTTAAATAATGCAAAAATTTTCAAAATTCGATATCTTTTCAAAACCCCTGGAAACGCATGCTGATTTTTTGTCCAAGAACATTTAATGATATTATAAGTTTAAATTTAGAATATCTTGGAAAATTATCAGTAGGTAAGGTACGTTGTGTATGTCCTTAATAGACATGAATTTAATTCGAATGGGGGTTGCATTCCATTCCATCTTGTTTTGAAAATGAAAGGATTAACTTCCATTGTAATTGTCGTACATCTCAATACATTCATATACTAGAATGAGTAGATTATATAGAAGAAATTTGAGAAAAAAAGGAAAGGAAGTAAAAGTCAATACATGTGAATAAGGCCACACTGTCCGTCGGACATTTGATGAAAAAAGTACGAGCGGGGTAGCGGTTAAATAATAATATTATTACTTTTTTGAAGGCAAAATTTTAAGGCGGGGCGTGAAAAAAATTGAGCGGACAATTATATTTTTTCTGATTTGCAGAGTAAGTAGATTAAAAGTACGATAAATAGAGCGGAAATATAACAGAAAACAGCAAAGAATTCCAATGGTGCGGGAATTTCAAATTTATATTATTTGTATAGTTTTGTTTAAATAAGAGCGCGCGGGTCCGACGAACAATAAATTTTATTGGTGTGACCTAATTCCTAGCTGCAGAACTGTAGCGTTGTGGTTTTAAATATTAGTCTTGTCCATAAAGCTACAGATCCCGTAATGCAAAAAAAAAGGTACCATTTACGGCTGAAGATTTTTTTGCGCACTTTGGGGGAAATTTCTCCTTTTTCCAGCATTGTTCAATCAACTAACTCTCACTCCCGAATTCTAGACACATTCTGTAACCAATCTGTATATTTTATCCACCTCCAAATCCTTTACAGTGGTAAACTGATTTGATTAGAATCGTTTGTTAAATTGCTGAAAATACACTTCAAGCGAGTTTATCGCCTGTAGAGACTGCTATCAGGCATGTAGCATCGTTTTTGAAAGTGGAGGGGGGGGGGGGGGGGCAACCAGAGAATTTTTTTTTACTTACCTGTAAAAGTTGACAAGCATAAAAAAAAATTCCCAACTTTTTCCAAGGCCAACTTCCTTTTACTTCCAATTTTTTCGCATACAATACATACAATACTACATTTCCTTCATATCACTATACGGTGGTAAGAATTGGGGGGGGGGGGGGGGGGGGGGAAACCAACTTTACAGTGGAAATTCTCAATAGTAAAGGTAATGTTGGGGAAAAAAGTGGGGGGGGGTAGGCCTCCTCCTGGCCCCCACTGTTGCTACGTCCCTGACTATAAAGAGTTGAGAGGTGGATAATATAAACAGATTGTTGAAAGAATGTGTCTAGAATTAGTGAGTGAATGGTAGTTGATTGATCAATGCTTAAAAGTGGAGAAAATCCCCCCCCCCCCCCCCCCCCCCCCAAACTGCGCAAAACGCAATGTTTTCACTCAGGACCAGTGGCTTGCGAGGATGGACTAAAACTATATTAAGAACTTCCTGAACTAGTTTTGAAATTTTTTCTCCGGAATTGGGGGGGGGGGGTTACTTTTTTCTATGCATAAATAAAGACAAATAATAACCCCATTGAATATGTCCGTAGAAAAAGTTCTGTCCTTTATGGAGTAAATGTAAATGTCTCAATAATTTCCGAATATCCCTCGTATATTGATAATATTACATTATACCATCATTGTATTTTTTTTTAAGGTCAAGGCAATGACTCAGAATTTAGAGGAGTAAAGGGCTTATCGAGCCCAAAAGGGCAAGGAGAGCGTTGTTTTTCAATTTTAAAAAATCAGTGATCGTCATGACAGAAAAAAAAAACATCAATGAAAGTTTTATATGATTCAACGATTAAAACTGATGGAGCAGACATGTCAAGTTTCTTGTTTAAAAGTCAGAGACATGCAAACCCAATGAGACCATCGGAGCTAACATCAGCTTAATTTAACCAGTATAAGTTTTGTATTTGAAATCTTTTTTGGCAAAATGTAGAAAAACAATAAATATCGAAGCATACCAATGAAAGGTGTATTTTAAGAGGCAAAATGACAAATTACCTTAGAAATATCTTGGATCAAAAAGTTTTGTGATGTAAGGGTGATTTCCTTTTACTCTTCTGTATCAAATTTAAAACGTTTGGGGGTAGCATGAAAAGGACAATCAGACTTCCAGTGAACATTTTAAATGTTAAAAAAAAACAACAAAAAATACGATCATGGAAATAGTAGTGGGAGGATATACTCCACCCCTCCTGATTCTATCACCCCCTCAAATCAAGGGTTTTTGATCCGCTCCGCTTTATGCGGGCATCAAAAACCGGAGGGCAAGCCCCTTCTCAATTTCCTAGTGCCTGAATATGTTCGTTTGAGCGAAATTCGGATGCAGATGATATAACTTTTCTGAAATTGTTTTCAATCTACTGTATTTTCAGTTCAATTTAGGAATGAAATATCCTTATATTCACTAGGAAGGTCAAAATTGAAAACATTTATCTACATCAAAAATTCAAAATACACAAGACTGTATTGAAATGTTTTTACATTAGTTTCACAATTGAAGCACTGTTTTAAAGTGGTGTCATTTTGTAATTTTTGAATTTACTACCACCCGGTAATCAAAAAATTACAATATGACAATGGGATTTAAAAAATTCCTCTAAATATGCCTGTATCCAATTCTCAGACGACCATGTTATCATACATGTACACGTACTTGAATGTACATTATGCATGGATCTTCTTTATTCTACGAGTAAATTTTGAAAAGAATTTCTCAAAGAGATTCCCACTGTTTATAAATAAAATTGAATCCACATAATACACGCACGATATTTTTCAGACATGCAGAAATTTTATGTCCTTCTTTCATGTATATGATTGCCACGTCTGATTCATATTTGGACGTTCTTCTGACTATACCAGTACTAACTATATTTAAGACCAAATTAAAAGTAAATTTTATGCCAAACGAATAACTTTAGCTTTTCTATTGTCATCTTTCCTTATTTATGAAATAATACAATTTTAGCAACAGAGAAGGGAAGGGGGCAAAATAAAATTCCAAAATTCATTAAACATTTTTTTAAACATAACTTTTACTATTGCAAATGTTCATTGATAGGCTGGTTGCCTCCCCCTTTTGTGGTACAGTAAATTGTTAAATATGTAATTGTATGCAAAAAAGAAGATACTGAAAGAAGTTGGTATCCGAAAAAGTTCCCCCCCATAACCCACCCCACCCCCACGAAATAGTATTTTAAAAGTTTTAAATATTTAGCTGATTTGAAAATATTATATACCGCCATTATATATTATGCAAAAGCTCCGACGTTAATTTCTTGTACTAGCAAACAAAGTTGTTAAATCAAAGTTAAATTAAATAAATTATACATTTATTGACGGAGTTAGAGGACAACATGCGCTTTGTCAGTCCCAAGAACCAAGCTATATGTCTGAGGATGTTAGAACGACAAAACGCGGAATTTAGATTTTGAAATATTTGATTTTCATTTTTCATTCAGGAACAAGTAATTTTTGAAATTCACATATAAAGGGTTAATTTTTTTTATTAATTACTTAATTTATCGACAGGACCGTTTATATTGGGTTAACCTCGATATTAAACTTTGAAAAAATGAAATGAATTAAGTTTTCGTGTAAATAATTGCTTTATTAGATTTTAGGAATTCAAAATCGATCCATACATTGCGTTACCGGTACAATATTGCAAGGCATCGATATAAGAAATTATAAATTTCTTGCTCAGCAAAATTAGCAATTTTGGGTTAGATTGTTAGCATATTTGGTTTTTAAGGTATTTTTAGAACCAAGTGAATGTCTGTCTTTTTATTGTTAATGTAATAGCAAATGTTAACTAGTAACGAAGTTATTCCATTGAATTTTATTGTAATTTATTAAAATACATATTTATTTTATTTTTAATAAATCTGTAAACTTTAAATAAGGACTTATCAAAAATTTAAGCCCAAAAAATTTTTTTTTTGTTATTTCCAACATTTTTTCATCGGAAATTTTAATTGTGTATTTTTCAGCAAAGTATATTAAAAAGTCCAAATTTTGAGTCCTTTACATGTAAGAAAAATGAAAATTTAAGATCCAAAATATTTGAATTTGTTTATTTATATGAACATATATTTAAACAATTTTTCCATGTCAACAAAAAATGGTTTAACAGGATCTATATTTTTAAAAAATAAGCAGATCCAAAAATTTTCAAAGGAATAAAACAGAATGAACTTCAATGGGTAAATTTCACACATCAATTAATAGAATAATTTTTGAACTTAAAAGATGGAACAATGCCATTATTTGCAATGGAATATGATTTTTTTAAATCTCAGACAAAAATCGACATAGTCATTGAAAGTATGAAAATATAACCTTCTACAATTTTTTTTGCTTGTCACCAAGAGCTAAAAGAATATGAATTGTACAAATTGAAAAAAGTCGGAGAATTACGAGGAATTTTACAAACATTTGAAATTGTATTATTTGAATTTTGCCAAATAATTTGTTTCGAAGAAATCAATAAATTGTGTTTATTACACATTTTTTTTTATCGGTTTGAGTCCGTAGCTGAAGCCTGGTTTAAAGCTAAAGATATATATAGAATCGGGAATTTTATTTTGTTTTTTGGCTGAAGAAAAAAATTGGGAAACTAAG